TTCAGTGAAACTGTGAATATTAACAATCTGCCAAGTAAATGAGATCCAGTCCTTAGCGCCTTCCAGAAGCACTGATTCTTTCCTGATTTCAAATATCTTCCTCTCCCACTTCATCATCTCCTTCCATACTGCCTTTGAAATCAATGAATAACATTTTTATGTATCACCAGCCAGCGTCTGAGTAAGAGAGCTTTGGTTTCCGCTGCGCCTCCTGTTACGATGAAAACAAAACGTGTACTGCATAAATTGAATGGGCTACATGAATGTGTAAACCTCTTCTGCTGAGATAGAAACCCTTTTCTGAATACGCTGCAGACAGGCGCGCTTCTAATTTGTTGTTGCTCTAATATAGTCAGACTGATGAGACAGAAGCTACTCATTTGGAATATTGGTTAATGACAACACTGGCTTGAATAAAGTGACCAGTCAAATGGCTACTCGTTCTCTCGGCTGCAGGTTGCTAGGGCTCATTGCCGTGTTTTCCCAACCAAAAAGGGGCGGAGGAAGTTGGTCTGTTGGGGGGTGGGGGAGAATATGTGTGTGTGTATGTATATATGCATATATACATGTACACATATATCCATGCAAAGAAATGCTGTTGAGCGGGAGAAGGAGAAAAGACAGGATTTTCTTTTTCTTTCTTTTTTTTTTTTTTCTTTCCCAATGCTGCGACGCATTAACCCTGCTGCTATTGGGACGTCGTCTGCTCAGCCTATTGGCTGAGCCTAGAAACCGCTGTCTGCCAATCGGGTGGTGAAAGGCAGACAAATCTACCCCGCCACCAGCAGGGAAAAAAACGGCGCGTAACCCTTGCGGCGCCGGCCACGCCGCGCCAGAGCTGGCGCGGGGAAGGGAGCTCGGTGTCTCCAGCTGCTGTGGCCGATTGGGGCGGGTCGGCTTCTTCGGCTTGCCAGCACTGGGTAGACAGCTGGCGGAAGGCAGCAATGCTCCGCAAGGTGAGGAGCTGGGCAGAAATCTGGCGGGGAGCTACCCTTTTGTTCCTCTTTTGCCACCTGGGTTATGTTTGTGGGCAGATCCGCTACCCAGTCCCAGAGGAGTCACAGGAAGGGACTTTTGTAGGGAATGTCGCCCAAGATTTCCTGCTGGATACAGAGAGCCTGTCAGCTCGTAGGCTGCAGGTCGCTGGAGAGGTGAACCAAAGACACTTCCGTGTGGATTTGGACAGCGGAGCCCTGCTCATCAAGAACCCAATCGATCGAGAAGCACTGTGTGGGCTTAGTGCGAGCTGCATCGTGCCTCTGGAGTTTGTTACCGAAGGGCCTTTGGAGATGTACCGAGCAGAGGTAGAAATCGTAGATGTGAATGATCACGCCCCCCGATTTCCTCGGCAGCAGCTGGACTTGGAAATTGGCGAAGCAGCTCCTCCAGGACAGCGCTTCCCTTTGGAAAAGGCTCAGGATGCAGATGTGGGGAGCAACTCTATCAACAGCTATAGGTTGAGCTCCAATGAACACTTTGCGCTGGATGTCAAGAAGCGCAGCGATGGCAGCCTGGTCCCAGAGCTGCTCCTGGAGAAGCCTTTGGATCGGGAGAAGCAGTCGGACTACCGCCTGGTGCTGACTGCTGTGGATGGAGGGAACCCCCCAAGGTCCGGCACAGCAGAGCTCCGTGTGTCTGTGCTGGACGTGAATGACAACGCCCCGGCCTTCCAGCAGTCTAGCTACAGGATTAGCGTGCTGGAGAGCGCTCCGGCTGGCATGGTGCTCATCCAGCTCAATGCCTCGGACCCAGACCTGGGTCCCAGCGGTAACGTCACTTTTTCTTTCAGCGGTCACACCCCTGATCGTGTGAGAAACCTCTTTAGTCTCCACCCTACTACTGGAAAGCTTACTCTTCAGGGGCCGCTGGATTTTGAGAGTGAAAATTACTACGAATTTGATGTGCGGGCTCGTGATGGAGGTTCTCCAGCCATGGAGCAGCACTGCAGCCTTCGGGTGGACCTCCTGGATGTGAATGACAATGCCCCCCACATCACAGTGACCTCAGAACTTGGGACCCTTCCCGAGAATGCAGAACCTGGCACTGTGGTGGCCCTCATCAGTGTGCAGGACCCTGACTCAGGCTCCAATGGAGACGTGAGCCTCCGGATTCCTGACCACTTGCCCTTTGCCCTTAAGTCTGCCTTCAGAAACCAGTTCTCTCTGGTGACTGCTGGAACCTTGGACCGAGAGGCCAAATCCAGCTATGACATCATGGTCACTGCTTCCGATGCTGGGAACCCTCCTCTGAGTACTCACAGGACGATTTTCCTCAATATCTCTGATGTGAATGATAACCCTCCCTCTTTTTTCCAAAGGTCACATGAGGTTTTCGTCCCAGAGAACAATCGTCCTGGAGACTTGCTTTGCTCTCTTGCAGCTTCTGACCCAGACTCTGGCCTGAATGCGCTTATCTCCTACTCACTCCTGGAGCCCAGAAACCGAGATGTGTCTGCGTCCTCCTTCATCTCTCTGAACCCTCAGACAGGAGCTGTCCATGCTACTCGATCCTTTGACTATGAGCAGACTCAGACACTGCAGTTCGAGGTACAGGCCCGGGACCGGGGCAGCCCCCCCCTCAGCAGTACTGTGACAGTCCGCCTGTTTGTGCTGGACCTCAATGACAATGCTCCAGCTGTGCTCCGTCCTCGGGCCCGGCCTGGGTCCTTATGTCCCCAAGCACTGCCTCCATCAGTTGGTGCTGGCCACCTGGTCACAAAGGTGACTGCTGTGGACTTGGATTCAGGTTACAATGCCTGGGTTTCCTATCAGCTCTTGGAGGCCCCAGACCCCAGTCTGTTTGCAGTCTCTCGCTATGCTGGGGAGGTGCGGACTGCTGTTCCCATCCCAGCTGATCTCCCACCACAGAAGCTGGTCATCGTGGTGAAGGATAGTGGAAACCCACCACTCTCTACCTCTGTCACTCTCCTTGTGTCCTTGGAGGAAGACACTCATCCGGTTGTCCCTGATCTTCGAGAATCCTCAGCTCCAAGGGAAGGAGAATCCCGCCTGACCCTCTATTTGGCTGTGTCCCTTGTGGCAATTTGCTTTGTCTCTTTTGGCTCCTTCGTGGCACTGCTCTCTAAGTGTCTTCGTGGGGCTGCATGTGGAGTGACCTGCTTTCCTGCTGGCACCTGTGCCTGCCTCACCCGGTCTCGAAGGAGGGAGGGGCTTCCTCCTTCCAATGGGATCCTCCGAATCCAGCTAGGGTCAGACGATCCTATCAAGTTTGTTGATGTGGGCGGCCACTCTCATGGCTGTACACCCTTGGCTTCTGCACCCACTCGGAGCGATAGCTTCATGATGGTGAAGTCGCCCAGTGCACCTATGGCAGGGGAGCCTGTTCGCCCAAGCTGCCCACCCTCTGATCTTCTCTATGGGCTAGAGGTGAGACCTTTGAAGGCTCGGCCAGTGCCTGAGGGTTGTTCTGATGCAGGCACGTGGCTAGCCCATGTTCCAGAGGGTATTGGCCTCTCTGTCAGAGCCCATAGTGATGCCACTATTTTTATGAGTGGTAACTATGTGGTAGATGATGTGCTTTAAAAGTGTTTTGTGAATTAACCAGGGAGTTAGTTGTCACAGATTAGCACTTGGGTGGGTGTGGCCATATCCGAGAGTCATAAGTGAAATTGGTGACTAAGAGTCAAGCTGTTGTGGGAGCATGCTGCTGGCACATGGCACCCAGGAGGCTGTGATGCACAAGGCTGTGCTGTACCAGGCAATCACCTAACCCAAGTTTGCTGCTTTTCTTGGCTTTTCATCTGAATGAGCGGGACAGGTTCTGGAGTATCTTGACTTCAGGTTGCCATTTCCCAATGGATCAAGGGGAATTGAGATTTTTTCCCCCCCACCCCTTTAGAATCTAACACTCTATAACCCACTGTGAAGGGAACTGTGCCTCTGAAGCACATCAGAGAGCACAGAGAGAGAAAGTCAAGGTAGTAGACAGGTGTTGATCAAGGTGATAGCAGAAATCATTTGGGCCAGGTCTTCAGGACTTCCAGTCAAGCCCATTTTGGGATTTGAACAAGATGTATTAGACTTGAAGTGGGTGGGAAATAAAACCATAAATCTAATTCCTTAATGTGAGAAAGCAGGAGGAAAAACTAAGGAATTTGTAGAAGACAGCCACTCTGGGAATGTTAATTAGGATTCTCCTGAATTGGTGAAACCATATGCTCAGAGGTCATGCTTAGGTTCTGGCCACCCTGTGTGGCCTGGATCAGCCCCAGAAATGGTCCCCTGAACCTGCAAGTTGTGATGCTCACCACAGCACATGTCCAGGATCTCAAAAAAGCTGAGTCCTGTAGTCACCAACTGGCACTGAGATTTTCCTCTGAGCACTGCTGGAGTCGGAGCAAAGCTTTTCAGGGTCCTAATCTTTTCTTTCACCCTAGGAGCATCAGGTAGGGTGGGGGAGGGAGGGAGAACACATGTGCTTTGCCTCACCCAGAGGGAAATGCTTTTGTTGTTGGTTCAAGCACAGTAGTGGAAGCTTATGAAGTCTTTCAGGAAGTTGCTGGGACAGAGCACTGAGGAGTTTTGTACCACTTTGTCTTCCCTGTTGAGCGCCATCTGAGCTGTCAAACTTTGCTGCCAAGGGGGCTGAGTCAACCTGCAGCACGAAATGAGCGAGGAGGTAGGAGGCTTCTGTGGCACAGACTTGTAGTGCTTTCCAGAACTGAGAAGACTTCATAATTGGTTGAGAGCAGACAGACTTTTTGGCCAATCAGACTCAGAGCTGAGGTGGGGGATCTGCTCTTCCTGCCCGCCTCTCCTCCCCCAGTTCCCTAGCTCAAATTCAATTCCCCTCCCTCCCCACCCACCCCCGCCATTTGGTGACTAAGAAGAACTGCTGCACGCAGGCAAACCTCGGAGCAGTTTTTAAGAGACTGGAAGGAGACATAAGAGATTTTTTTTTAGCTGCTGCATTACAAGCCCTGGGTCTACCGTGGAGACAGGACAGCTCAGAGTCACTGTCCAGGAAGGGACTTCTGGGTCATGGGGCCCAAGACACCCCCACAGCTCCCTGGGAAATGGCAAGTGCTGTGCATGTTGTCCTTGTGCTGCTGGGGCTGGGTGTCTGGGCAGCTTCGTTACTCAGTGGTGGAGGAGTCTGAGCCGGGGACGCTGGTGGGGAATGTTGCTCAGGATCTGGGCTTAAAGATGACAGATCTGTCAAGCCGCCGACTGCGGCTGGGCTCTGAGGAGAATGGGCGTTATTTTTCCCTGAGCTTGGTAAGTGGTGCTCTGGCAGTGAATCAAAAGATTGACCGCGAGAGCCTGTGTGGAGCCAGCACCAGTTGCCTGATGCCAGTGCAGGTGGTGACTGAACACCCCTTGGAACTAATTCGAGTAGAAGTAGAGATCCTAGATCTCAATGACAACTCTCCCAGCTTTGCCACCTCTCAGCGAGAGATGCGCATCTCAGAATCAGCTGCACCTGGGGCTCGATTCCCACTGGATAGTGCCCAGGATCCAGACGTGGGCACCAATACTGTGAGCTTCTACACTCTAAGCCTCAGTGACCATTTCTCACTGAATGTGAAGACCCTGAAAGATGGAAAGCTGTTCCCAGAGCTGGTGCTAGAGCAGCAACTGGACCGAGAAACCCAGGCCAGACATCAGCTGGTGCTCACTGCTGTGGATGGGGGCACCCCAGCCCGCTCAGGGACCACCCTCATCTCTGTCACTGTGCTGGATGTCAATGACAACGCTCCAACCTTCCAGTCCTCAGTTCTGCGTGTGGGCCTCCCAGAGAATGCACCCATAGGTACACTGCTGCTCTACCTCAATGCCACCGATCCAGATGAAGGGACCAATGGCCAACTAGACTATTCTTTCGGGGATCATACATCAGAGGCAGTGCGGAATCTCTTTGGCCTAGATCCCAGCAGTGGAGCAATCCATGTGTTGGGTCCCATCGACTTTGAGGACTCAAGTTTCTACGAAATTCATGCAAGAGCTCGTGACCATGGACAGCCAGCCATGGAGGGCCACTGTGTGATCCAGGTTGATGTGGGGGATGCCAATGACAATGCCCCAGAGGTTCTGCTGGCTTCCTTGGTCAACCCTGTCCTGGAGAGCACATCAGTAGGCACAGTCGTGGGGCTGTTTAACGTGCGGGACCGAGACTCGGGTAGAAATGGTGAGGTGAGCCTTGCTATCTCTCCAGACCTGCCATTTCAGATCAAGCCATCTGAGAACCACTACTCATTGCTAACCAGCCAGCCCTTGGACCGAGAGACTACATCACAGTATATCATTGAGCTTCGGGCCAGTGATGCTGGCTCACCTCCCCTGCACACACACCTCACCATCAGGCTCAACATTTCAGACATTAATGACAATGCACCTCACTTCACCCAGCAGCTCTACACAGCTTATATACCAGAAAACCAGCCCCCCGGCTCTCTTCTCTGCACTGTGGCTGCCGTGGACCCAGACACTGGAGATAATGCCCGCCTCATCTACTCCATCATAGGGAGTCTGACCCAGGGATCCCCTGCCTCCTCCTTTGTGTATGTCAACCCTGAGGATGGGCGAGTCTTTGCTCAGCATACCTTTGACTATGAACAGCTGCAGATGCTGCAGATAGTGGTGGGCGTTCGAGACTCTGGCTCTCCCCCACTGCACGCCAATACGTCTCTGCATGTGTTTGTTCTGGACCAGAATGACAATGCTCCAGCTGTGCTGCACCCCCGGCCTGGCTGGGAATTCTCAGCCCCTCAGCGGCTTCCTCGCTCTGCCCCTCCTGGATCCTTGGTCACCAAGGTGACAGCTGTGGATGCTGATGCAGGCCACAACGCGTGGCTGTCCTATTCACTGTTGCCACAGTCCACGACCCCAGGACTGTTCTTGGTGTCTGCACACACGGGGGAGGTGCGCACAGCCCGGTCCTTGCTGGAAGATGACTCTGCCACCCAGAGGGTGGTAGTCCTGGTGAGGGACAATGGCGACCCTTCACTCTCCTCTACAGCCACAGTGCTGCTGGCTCTGGAGGATGAGGACCCTGAGGAAATGCCCAAGTCCAGTGACTTCCTCACAAACCCGCCTGAGCGTTCAGACCTTACCCTTTACCTCATTGTGGCCCTGGCGACCATCAGTGTCTTAGCCTTAGTCACCTTCACCTTTCTGTCAGCTAAGTGCCTTTGTGGGCGTGCAGATGGGGACGAGGGCGGGGGACAGTGCTGCAGGGGCCAGGACTCGCCCTCTCGGGACTTTTATAAGCAGTCCAGCCCCAACCTGCAGGTGAGCTCAGATGGCACGCTCAAGTATATGGAAGTGACGCTGCGGCCCACGGACTCACAGAGCCATTGCTACCGGACGTGCTTTTCGCCAGCCTCGGACGGCAGTGACTTCACCTTTCTCAGGCCCCTCAGTGTCCAGCAGCCCTCAGCCCTGGCATTAGAGCCCGATGCCTTCCGGTCCCGCTCTAATACTCTGCTGGAGCGGAGCCAGGTGAGGGGCTCAGCGCCACCAGAGGTGACCCCTGGGGGCGGTGTTAGAGAAGTGGCCCACGTAGGGGACTCTGACCCTGCTTCTACTCTTTCCTCGTGCACTTGGCCTTGCTGATACTGGTGCTCTATTCGGATCTTCTGCGTGGAAAACAGTCAGGGAGGGGTGGCTGAGGCCAGAGTACGGCCCTGAGCATCCCGTGGTGGTGACTGTTGGGAAGAGAAGAGGGACAGATATCTCCCCATCCTCACCCCACCCCCTGCAGATTCAAAGGCAGGGGCTGCGCCCTAACCAGAACTTTCTGGCTATTTCTGCAGGGTGCTGGGGGCAGGGGAAAGGGTAAGGTGGCAGTCACAGATCTGTGTTGGCCCCTCAGCCATCTAGACTGGCCAAGGTTCCCCCTGCCCCCCACGTCTTACTTTTGCTTCCCTGTTTCTCCCCACTCCCACAGTTCCTGCAGTGCACTGCAATGTAACCGCCATCTTCAACTCTCCCCAAATCGGCGCTCATGCATGTATGGACAGGACAGAAGTGGCAAGTCCTCTCTGCAGACCACACCCTCAGGCCTGGCCCAGTGCATGGAGTCTGCACCTGTCACATGCCTCACACATGCCTGGCACACACCCCCCAGCTCCCATTGCCAGCTCCTTGCTCCTAGGTTGCCTCTGGTTGTCCCCATCCCACCCCAGACCAGCCTCAGGCCCTCAGCATGATGATGGTCCCCAGGTCCACGACTGCCCTAGTCTGGGCCAGTGCCCGGGGTTCTGGCCCCACCACTCACACTGGCCTGGCCCGGGCTGGACCTGGGGCATTTGGGGCAGCAGTGTCTAGAGTGCAGAAATGACTTTGGGTGCTCTAGGCCTGGGGCCAGCCTCACCCTGCTGGCCTGGGCCCTCATTGGGACAGCAACTTCCCTAGTCTAGAAGTCTCTAGGGCCCAACCTGGGGCAAGCAAGCAGGTTTGCATAGAGCAGGCAGCACTGGGACCCCAGCGCTCCCTTTGAGCTGTGGGTGCTCAGAGATGGATTTTTATTTGGTCATGACCACAGGAGATCTATGGTCAGGGGTTTGGAGTGAACAAAATATCTGGGATATAGGTCTTTCCTCCTCTGATGAGTGGAGAAAACGACAGCTTCTACCAGGTGTCAAAATGTCCTCACATATGGGGAAACTGGAATGGTGAAAAAGCACATGTCTCCACGACCCCTGGAGATTTTATTCATGTGTCTGTGTCTTACCAGGGGAGCTCTGGGACCTGGTCCCTGCTGAGTTTTGCTGCTAATTCTAGGGCTGCACCCCTCAGGTAGTCTGAATTCACCAGAGGCTCCATGGGAAAATGAGAGGCAGTTTTATTCTGTGTGATCTACAGCTTCAGAAACCCAGTGGAGGGTCAGCTATGAGTCAGTTCTGACTTGACTGGCAATGAGTGAGCCTTGGGCCCTGTTTGTCACAATTGAATCAGAATTGTGCTTTGGAAAATCACTCCCAGGTGATTCAGAGAGCTGGTTGGGGGTGCTCACTACATTCCTCCTCTGAGAAACACAGCATCTCATTTGCTCCTCCCAATAATGTATTTGGATAGGTTGTATCCCCATCATGTGACTTGCACAAGTGAACAGAGTAAATGACCAGGACGTGGTTTAACCTAGGTTTGTCTAATTCCAGTTTGATTTGTGCACTCAGTCGTTTGACGCTTGGAATTTGTAAAGCTTGAAGGGACAGATAGGAATCTGGTTAGATGGGATGAAAAATGGGGCTTTCTCTGCAGGCCTTCTGGGGCCTCTTTTCCAAACAGCCCTCACTGAATACATTTGGACCCGCCGTCTTTATAGAAGTTGTGAATTTTGCCCAGCTTTTCCTCCGGTCTACCATGATCCTGCTGTGCCTGAGAGTACCACGGCTGAGGGCTTGCCATCAACAGCAGCCCCTGAGTGGCCTCATTGACTTCTGCTGCGCCTGGGTTGCCGCATTTCTGGGCTCTGCTCCCTTCACTGTCACCTGTGAGCCTGAGTGAGTCACTCGGCAGCCCTGGGTCTTCCTTCTCTCCCTGGTGAAATCAGAGGTTCACACTTCCCTCCCTGGTCCTGGGAGTCAGTGTGAGAATGAATTACTAGCAATCCCAGTACCATGACATGACTCTGGGAGTGTGTGCTAAGAGCACACGCCCACTCGGAAACACAAAGGGCTGGGAATGAAGTGGCTGGCCGCAGAGCCTCACCCCTTCAGACAGGTGGGACAGGGCTCCAGATGCGTGCTCTGGGAGTCCTGTGAGACTGAGTTGGCCCAGCTTAGAGGCTGTGGGAGCTTGATCCCTGCTGGGCTTTATCCCAACAGTCTTCTCTGTCCCAAACAGAGCAGCCTTGTTCTCGCCTCCTTAGTCAAAGGCCATTGCCTGGCATGGAGTTCTATTGGTAAGAAGTGTCCAGGGGCTTGGAACCCTGCAAAGACCCAGTCTGGCACAACTCCTAAATTAATAATGTGTTTAGCTGTGGGACGGAATCCTTGAGGGTCAAGGGCCGAGAGGGGGTGTCCCTCTGAATGTGTTACTGTGCAGCCTGGCACCACAAGGGTTACCGGGAGCAGCAGCCATCTTGCTGCAGAGGGTGCTTTGTTTCCAGCTGAAGAACTGAATAAAGTCATTCTCGGCTGGTGGACCTCTCATCTAAAAGCTTCCTCTGTCACTTTGAGGGGCCTTCTTTGCCCCCATTCCGTGGTCCCACAGAAGTCACTTTTCAGTCCTTGAATCTGCTCAGACATTCTGATTCTGGAGCAGGGGGAAGGGACCTTTATCTGGGCTTGCTCACTGTGGTCTGATGAAATGCTGTTTTATCCCATATTCCTCCGAACCTCAGGCTTTGGAGACCTGGGGTGTATTTTGGCTTTCGAGTTGTGTCTATTCCTCCCCACCCCATTGTTTAATTGTCCTGCAGCTTCTTGGTGCCCCCTCTGTCCCTCTCTCCTGGCCCATCCCCAGGGGCTCAGGTGACATTCTAAACCCTCATGGATACTCAGCCCTTTCCCTCTGTTTTCTCCACAGCAAGCCCCACCCAACACGGACTGGCGTTTCTCTCAGGCCCAGAGACCTGGCACCAGCGGGTAGGTGACTGACTCTCCAGCCCACCCTCTTCTCTGCGGCATTTTCTCAGCGATGAGATGACGTGGGAGGAGATGGGGGAAGGGCTCAGCAATTGCTATAAATGGCTCCTTCTCTCAGTGTGAGATTGCAGGGAGGTTTACCAAAGCATTTGGGACTAGTGCACAGACTGAAGGAAGGGGCACCTACTGTACTTTGAAAGCTTAATTCACCATTCACCCCATTTCCCCTATGCACAGCTTTTCCTATCCCCCAAGGGTGGGGCGGGGAAGGACACTCAGGATGGCTTTAAGCTGGCCTCTAACTAGAGAAGAATCTCTTTCATGCCCATGGACTGTTCTTGCCCTGCTCCTCTGGGCTGGGCTGGACTGGGCTCCATCCTGAGAAGTTCAGGCAGAGAAATTCCGGGCAGGAGGTGGAGCAGAAGGGGATTGTTAGGAGCCAGGTTCCCCCAGAACCTGAAAGGAAGAGCAGAGATAGAGAAGAGTCAACAATGCTGATGGTGGGACAGAGGACAGAGAGCTGCCCTGGAGGGTGAAGGCCAGACCTTCCTCATCCCACCCCTCCTCCCAGCTGCCCTCCCTGCCCACAGGTATTTTGCCTCAGTCACAATCTTATCAGGGTGTTTCCCAAATTCTTCTTTGGTCTCTCTGAATACCTCTGCCTCTTTTGTTGTCTGATTTGATTTCTATCTTTATTGCTGCATCTCTGGTATCTACCATTTGTGTCTATGTGCATGTCTTGCCTTGGATGCCTCAAGTGCTCAGTGAATGACTGAGGGAAGTGTAACTGCTCCTTATCCTCAGGCTCCATTTCTCCTTTTCTCTTTGCCTCTGCCTCTGCTTTTCCTTTATCCATCTCTCTTTAGTTTTTTATGTTCTTCCTTTCTTTATCTCACCATTTCACTCTATTCTTAACCTTTCTATTTCTTTCTTTGTGCTTCTTTCTCTGTATATTACTCTCTTTTCCTGTCTCTGAATCTCTTTCCCTGTTTCTTCTCTCTCCCCTATCTCTCTTCCTTTCATGTGTCCCTGTGTCAGACCACACACACACACACACACACACACACACACACACTCTGCTCCCTTCCTCCTTCAGCCCTTCACACACTGAGCCTTTGATTGCCACCACATACCCTCCCAACCAGGCCCCTCCAGCTGCTCCCTTCAGTCCAGTATGAATTCCTGCTGAGACAGGACCTTCCCCACCCCCCATGGGTGTGGGGAGGGAAACTTCATCCTGAAAGACATTCAGTTGGTCTGAGGGAAGTGGAGTGGGCTCCTGGCCAGGCCTCTGTTGTAGTCAGGAGTTTGAGGGAGTCTTAGGAACCTGGGGAGAAGGGAAAGCCAAGGGCAAAGGTGGCTTCTTCCTCCTTGCTGGCCTGTCAGACACTTGGTATCAATCTCTCTTCAGATGCTGCAGATTCTGAGCTTCTTCTGTAACCCTTTCCTGCCAACAATCAAGCCCTCAATGTCTGAAAAACAGGAGTCCTTGGTGCACAGTGGTGATTCCAGCTTCTGGCCATGTGCCTTCCTGTCACTATTATCAGGATCTCAAAATGTTTCTAAGAGAACCCTTAGAAGGCAAAAGACAATAGGCTTGATTGCACTGGCCCCTTTTTGGCCCCAGCTACCCCCTCTCCTTCTGCTTGCCTTGCCACATGTCCATAGTTATCCATTTAGCTATTCATGTCCTCATGCATTCATTTGACAAATATTCATAGGATGGCTATGAATTGTGTTTGACTTGAATAACACTTAACAGCAACAATAAGGATCTGGGTGAAAAGACAGGGTAATAATGGCAAGGTCCAATGGTGATTCAGTTTATAAAACTTACTACATGAAAAAAAATAATAAACCCCCAAACCCAAAACTTAGTGCAGGAGAATGTTGTGCAGATGACACAACCTTGCTTGCTGAAACTGAGGAGGACCTGAAGAGCTTGCTGCAGAAGGTCAAGGACTGTAGTCTTCAATATGGATTGAAGACAAAGATTCTCACCACATGTCCATTTGGCAGCACCATGATGGATGGAGAGGAGATGAAGGTTGTTATCAGTTACAGCTTTCTCAGCTTCACAATCAACACTCTTGGCACCAGCAGTCAAGAAATCAAAAGATGAATTGCATTAGGTAAAACAGCTGTCAGAGTACTGAGAAGCAACGATGTCAGTCTAGAAACTAAGGTGCACTTGATCCAGTCCATGGTCTTTGCAATTACTTGCTATGCATCAGAGAGCTAGGTAATGACTAAGGATGATAGAAGAAGAATTGATGTCTTTGAGTTGTGGTGCTGGAAAAGAGTCTTGAACATACCATGGCCCACCAAGAAAACAAAAGCTTTGTCTTGGAGAGAGTGAAACCAAGTTTCTCCTTGGAGGCTAGGACTTTGAAGCTGCATCTTACATACTTTGGGCATGTGGCCAGGAAGGACAGATCCTTGGAGAAGGACATCATGCTCAGAGGGTAGACGGACAATGCAGGAGAGGAAGACCCCAGATAAGATGGATGGGTACAGTGACTAGGGCAGTGGGGGTTAGGGTTAGGTGTGTGTCAGTGAGACTAGCTCAGGACAGGGCAGGCTTTAGAGCTGTTGTACATAGGGTTGCTATGAGTTGTAGGCAGCTCGAAAGCACTTAACAACAACAAATGCATGAGAATGATTTTATGAAACATAATATGAATGAAGAATAGTGCGAAACACAATGTATACAAACTTTGTAAGTAACCCCCCCCGAAAAAAAACCCAACCAAACAAACAACAAAACATTAGGCTATAAGAATGAACTTAGTCTCTGAGCTAATGTGCTTCCTGACCAGCAGAAGAGCTAGATAATTAATTACTAGTCTCACTTTTAAAATGTCTGGTCAGAAATCATAAGGAGTCCTGGTCATGGAGCAAATAATGCACTGGGCTGCCGCTCCCACCAGTTTGGATCTACCAGCTGTTCCACAGAAGACAGACGGGCACGTCCCCTCTCCTAAAGATTTTCAGCTTCAGAAACCTGAAGGAGGGTCGTCATGAGCCAGCTGACTCCACAGCTGGGGTTTAGGGTGATTGGTTGAGTAGTCACCAATCATAGTAATGCTGAGAAAAGCAGAGAGTAATGTGAGCGTAATTCACAAAAGTAGAGGGGACAGGGACGGCTTTGTGGAGAGGTGCTTTTTGAGTTGGGATCTGAAAGACCATATGAAGTGAGGGGCATTTTGTCTTGTCTTTACCCATCCCCAGCCCTGGCTACACACTGACTCTGGAGCAGAATTCACTGACAGAGCTGGAAGCTCACCGGTTCTTTCTTACTCTAGTATCTTATCCTTCCATCAACGTCCTTTTTATCAAATGAGAGGCTTGATGTGGTTGTTCTTGAGGACATGGGGGTGGGGTTGAAACTAAGGAGCTAATGCTCCGTTAACTTGAGGAGGACGCCCCACTCACCAACTTCCCTCCCTCACCCATTTAACCGATAGCTATTAAGCTTCTGCCGACTGTAGGTCAGACATGTTCTAGGTGTGGGGAACATATTACGGACACGGCTCCTGCTCTCAAGGGATGTACTGTGTGTTGGGGAAGACATATATTAACCAAAGAATCACAAAAATAAATACAAGATTGCCGCTTTTATAAGTACTACAAAGAGTAGTACCAATTGGTGAGAGCACAGAACGGGGATTTGAACTAGTCAGGAAGTAGAAAGGAGGAAATGGAATTGTGTGGAGATCTGAAGGGTGAGTTGTTAGTGACGTTGAGTAGACTCTGACTCATAAGGACCCTATCTATGTACTGAACCCTTCCCTATCACATTACCCCAGTCACTGTGTCAATCCATCTCATCCAGCATCTCCCTCCCCTGCGCTGTCCTTCCACTCTTCTGACCATGATGTCCTTCTCCAAAGACTAGTCCCTCTTGGCAGCATGTTTAAAGTATGTGAGATGGAGCTTCAAAATTCTTGCATCCAAGAAGCAGCTTGGTTTCATCCTCTACAGGACAGACATGTTTGTTCTCTTGGCAGTCTATGGTATGTTCAATACTTTTCTCCAGCACCACAACTCAAAGGCATCGATTCTTCTTCTGTCAGCCTTCGTCATTGTCCAGGTCTCTGATTCATATCAAGGCATTGTAAAGACTGTGGCTTGGATCAGGTGCACCTTAGTCTCTAGACTGACACTATTGCTCTTCAGCAGTCTGGAGAGGTCTCTGACAGCAGACTTTTCTAATGCAATTCATCTTTTGATTTCCTGACTGCTGGTGCCAAGAGTGTTGATTGTGAACAATCTCGATCTCTTCATGGTGCTGCCAGTTGGCTCTGTGGTGAGAATCTTTGTCTTATTGAGTAGGAATTAGCACATGAGGACAAGAAGGAAGAGTATCCCAAATGGAAGAAAAACAGATGCTAAGGCTCTGTGGTGAGGCCTCTTGGGATCAACAGAATGCTAGGGAACTTTTCTTAGCTGCAACTCCATGAGTAAATGGAGGAAGGAGATAAAAAGAGCAGGCTCTTGTTCTGCCCCCTACCCCCATCTCACCCAGTGCTGACAGCCGCCTCTGGTTGGGCATACTAGGTTCAGAGCAGAACTGGTGCTGAGTGTCCAGTAAACCTGGTTCAAATCTAAGCCAGCCCTGGGTCACACTGCCTGGACAAAGGGACAGATTCTGAAGTATTAAAAAGTCTCTGTCTGGTAGGTATTCTTTCTCCTCCCACCCATTTCTTCTCAAGTGATCCTTTTGGATTCTAATCCAACAGCTGTTGTCCTAGCAAATTAGTCCAGTTCTCCGTTCTTGGGCTGTATCCCAAGCCTTGCCCTGCAGCTGTTTTCAGCCTCGGTCCAGAGAAGGGAGTCTGCATTTGGCTTCCTCAGGCCTCCACCTTGCCCTTCTTTAATGGCTCCACAATCCTTCTCCAACCCAGGGTCCCCTTCCATTCCTCCCCTGAGACATTATCTTCCCTCCATCAATCTGGGCAGAATCATTGAGTGAACTAACTAGTAACACATCTCTTTTTCTGCTCATTAAAGAAAAGGGAGCGCTGAAGGTCTAGTGGTGAAGAGTTGTGCTATCAGCTGCTCTGTGGGAGACAGATGGGTAATCTCCATGCAGTTTATGGCCTCTGGTAACCCTCTGGAGGATCAGCTATGAGTCAGTTCTGACGACAGCACATAAAAACCTACAACAATATTAGAGAAATGTGGGAAAGAGAGATACAAGTTTAACAGGAAAATCATTCATAACTCTCAACACAGGGCGAATCCTCTGCCATGTCTTCTTGCCTTACATATATATTGAAATTTACGGCAAGAACTCTGTTATTTCTTAAATCCCAGGACCTGTCACAGAGGGAGTGCTTGGAAGATGGCCAATTATGGTAAAACATAGTCCATCTCCTTCAATTTTACTTTTTGTTGTTCCCCAAATTCTAGAAGAGTCCCTGTGCTTCCTGAGGCTCAGCACATTCCTGCTGAAGCCCACTGGGGTGTCCTGGATAACAGCACGGGCTCTGGAGAAAAATTAGGCTGACATGCAAATTGTAGCTCTGGCAGTTGCCAGCTGTGTGTTTCTGTGAAAGTCTCTTCATCTCTCTGAGTTCTGCTGGAGAAAAAAATTAAAAAGATAATGATAGAATCTATAGAGACAGTGTTATGAGGTGGAAGTGATAATGTATGTTATCCAGTAAGCCCAGTGCCTAGAGAATGCAAAGCCTCAATAAATGGTTTAAAAAGCTTCCTCCCTCCCAGCCATCTCTTGCCCAGCTTCACAGGGCTGGCAGCCTGCCTGCCTGCTGAACCAATAGTCTTCAGCTGTTTCCCAAGAATCCTAACTAGTCAAGCCTGTCATCATTCCAACTTGCCCGCTTAGACCCCTTCATTCCTTCAAAACCACGCGCACTCCCACGGCTGCCCCCCATGACCTGTAGTATCTACCTTTTGCTTTCTACCTAAACACTCTTCCCTGTTTGCCTTCCCCTTTGCCTGCTCCTCTCATCAGCCCTCACTAGGCCCCTTCACGTGGACAGGAGCCCACCTACGTGGGCCCTGCAAGCTCCAGTGGACCCTGAGAAAGCCCAGGCCTGCTGGGGGTGAGGGCCCAGATTTTCAGCGAGACAGAGGTGGCTGGGGCCATTACGGGGCTCCTCTTCTCCCAAAGGTGTACCCCAACCTTTAGTCCTTCACGCAAGAGCAAAGGTGTCTTTAGCTATTTAAATAGAATAATGGGTATCTTTAAATAAAATCTATATTGTCCACTCTGTGGCCACAGCCCCTAGCACCACCTGCCTCACTCGGTCCAGCCCCATTCCAGCTGCACTGACCTTGTCTTATTCCTTTCAACTCACCGGTCTTCCTCCCCTTGAGAGGTTTGAGCCTGATATCCCCTCTGCCTGGAAAAGTCCTCTCTCACAAAACCAACCCCTGCTCCAGGGTGACTTACTTTTACCCCACCTTTTAATTTTGAAATGTTTTAAATATATTGAAAAGGTGTCTGTCCATCTGTCTGTCTGTCTCTCTCTCTGCCTCCTCCCCCACCTTTCTTTTTTCCTTTCTTCTCTCTCTCTTTCAAGACTTCAAGGCCGGGGACCAGGCCTCCTGCCCTGCCCTTGTGCCAAATTCTTCTTACATCATAGTGACCTTACCTAACTCCACTGGCCTCACTCCATTTATCCAGGAAACACATGCTTATTGAGGAACTTCTGTGTGCCTGGCAGTGTTGGATTACCTAATAGACAGACTGTGTGCCAGGGGTGCTTCCTCGCTTCACCCCAAAAAATCCCTCCACCAAACCTAAAACCCCTGACTAATCTGATACTTTAGACTTCTAAAATAGTCACTAAGGGGTGGGGAATCCAAACTGGGTTGGAATTTCTTAGTGTTATTTTATAATTATAATTTCACTGTTGTATTTTGGTTTTTAACAAATATTGTAAGTATAATTTTTTAAAATACTTATAGCTCAAGGCAGTTCTTGATTTGTTCCAGGTGACAGGTTTTATGGGAGATGCTTTTATAGGAAGCAGGCACAGTGCCCTTCTCACCGGAACCCATCTGTTGGACCAGCAGACAAGGACAATAGCTGTGCCCTGTGGCCTGTGCTAGCATGGGGTGCACACTGGGGTGGGAACACCTGGAGGCCTCTGATAGAATGTATTCATGTTACCAGAGAAAAGACTGGTAGACGAGTATTCTAGGTAATAGCATCTGCCCAGGATTTGTGGGGGGAAAAAAGGGTTTATGGAGTTAGGAAAATACCTCAGATAACAAAGTTTAAGTAAGCATAAACTATTTGAGAGTGGGCCTTGGATGTTCTTATAAAATAAGAGGGTTAGGTTCTTAAGGCCCAAGAGTTTAATCCCAAAGGCTATGTAAAAAGCTGTGGAAGTGACTGTGTTTGAGTTTTAGAAATCCTTGATGCTCCTGGGTCTCCTCCATCTCCTCCTAGGTCCTGCTTTGGTTCCCATTCTTTTCTCTACCTCTGAGTCAATCTCCCCCATTTTCCTCCCTCACCATCCTTGGGAGAGGGTCTCATCTCCTTCACTGTCCTCATGGAGGGCATCTTAGTTCTTACTGCTGCCGTAATAGAAATGCCACAAGTGGGTGGCTTTAACAATCATAAATCTACTCCCTCACCGTTCACAAGGTTAGACGTCTGAATTGAGGGCACTAGCTCTAGGGCAAGGCTTTCTCTGTTGGCTCATGGGGAAGGTCCGGGTTCCTTGTGTGTCTGAGAATCAGTCTTCTCCTGAGTCTAGGAGGTTCTCAATACAGGGACCCTGGTATGAAGGGCACGCTCTGCTCCAGGTCTTCTTCCTTTGTGGTAATGAGTTCCTCCTGATCTCTACTAACTTTTCTCTCCATTAGTGTCTTATAAAAGAAAATGGCTGCAGGTTATACCCCAGAGAAATTCATCTGAACCAGTAAAGAACTGGTCTTGGGGTCTGTCTCCTGGGAACCTGGTTTTTAATGATTGTATGAGCTATTTCCTATCAGTGAAAGGGAACAAATCTTGATAGTGATGTTGGGATGGGGCCCTGGGAGACGAGTGGATTTTGGAACTAAGGAAGGGATGACTAAGGCATGAGACCTGGCCTATGCACTGTGCTCACCTTCTTTCTCTTTCCCCAGTTCCCAAAATGGCGATGAAACTGGCACCTGGCCCAACAACCAGTTTGACACAGAGATGCTTCAAGCCATGATCTTAGCCTCTGCCAGTGGTAAGTTGTGCCAATGTGTGGAGTCATATGTGAGACCAAGGGAGGAGCTAGGGCTCTAGGGTCCACCCCCATGCAGCCTGCCCTGTGTGGTGCCTTGGACTGTCAGCTCCCCGAGGGCCCATGATTCAGGCTTAAGGAACAGCAGAAGGACTAGAGCCGGTCCTTCAGATAGCCAGAGAGGAGTAAACCAGGAAAGTGCCACTGGGGAGTGACGGGGAGCAGTGGTTAAGAACCTCGCTCTGAACAGGATAGTGCAGACTGGATCCTCACCCTGTCACCATCTGTCCTTGTGACACCGATGAATTTACTGAGTATCTCTGAATTTCTGTTCCCTCTGGCAAGAAATGAGGACAAAAATGAGGAAGTGACCTCAGAAGGTTGAAGTAAGGATTAAATGAAATAAAATGGCATAAAGCACTTCGCTTACGGGCCTGCCCTCTATCAGTGAAAGTAGGCGTGGGTATTCTGGTGCAAAGAACATGGCATTGGACGCCCACACTCCCTTCTCTTTCTTTTGCCCAGAGTAGGATTTTGGTTTATTCATAGGACTAACAAAGAACCACACATGCAGTAGAGATTCATTGATGTCCCTGAGTAGTCCAGAGCAGGGGAAGCAGAACTGTATCATGAAGGAATACAGTAAAACGAAGGTGTTAGAAGCAAGCTGCCACTAAGCTCTATGTCTTTTTTCCCCCCCCTGTTTTCAGGTTAGCCCTGTGGAAATAGTTCTTTTTTTTTTTAAATTCCATTCATTCATTGTTGCACCCTTCTCCCCACACAAACCCCTCCCCCCTCCCCTCTCAGCTCTATGTCTTTAGACAACTTTCTAAGTTTCTCTGACCTCCATTTCACCTACTATGAAATGGGCACAATAATAAGAGACCTCATGGTATTGTCATGAGATTCAGATGTCAGTTGTTCACACAGGACAAGGAGAAAGGACACAGTTCATGATGACTTCTTGTTATGTGTCGTTGAGTTGCACACGATGACTGAAACTGGTTAATTATTATTGTTGTTGCCTTATAGGGGGTGAGAGGTAGAATCAGAATAATGCCCATTAATAAAGACCAGTTTCTGAAGCAGAAAATCCAAGGCTTCCATGGAGGCTGGTAGAAGGTGAAGAAGCATTTAGAAGTTGGAAGGAAGTGTTGGTACATCTGGAGGGCCAATGGGTAGAGAACCAGGCAGAGCCATACAGTAATCAGTATCACCACCACTTTGTGTTGTCCTGGGTACAGACTGAACAGATTTAGGAGCCCAAGTCAATGAAGCTTTTCCACAGTTCTGCAAGGAAGATGTGATCATTTACATTTGACAGCTGAGAGATCAAGGATTTCCTAGCCCAAGGCCTTCAGTGTTGAACTGGAGAGCCACGGTTTCCATGCCAGCCTGACTTCCAAGCTCACACTCTTTCAGCCAGTCATCATGGCTAGTTTCTGATCCAACCTCAGTTTCTCATTTAGCCAAGGAGGCCTAGAGGCTGGATACTTCCTGATGCTTTGGATTAGTCTCCCAGATTAATACTGACAGATCAAATATAGTGCATCTAATTAAGCTGGAATTCCAGATAAATAATATTTGAATATAAATCAAAATCACACTCATGACCTTGAGTCAGTTCTGGCTCATGACGACCTTCCATGAAGTCTCCTTTCGACTGCAGGAGATGGCCTCACCTCTCCCTCTTGGAGTAGCTGGTGGATTTGAACTGGTGACCAATACTTTACATACTGTGCCTCCAGGGCTCCTGATTTTAGTATCAGTAGGTCCCTAATGTTGGGACATGCTATACTTAAAAATATACTGTTTAGCTAAAATTAAAATTCCATTTGGGCAACTGTTTATTTGCTTTATGTGGCAGTCCTATCCCTGCTCACTGTGAGGCTGAGGGGTTCAGGAGTGGGTCAAAGGGGCCGAAGAAAGCAAACGGGGGCGGGGGGTGCAACAATGAGTGAATGGAATTCCAAAATCTCTGTAGATGTTCATTGAAATGAAAAATAAACAAACTAAATTAATAAAAAAAAAAGGGGGGCCGAAGAAGGGAGAGGTGCAGGGGTACACAGTCTGGAGGCTGTAATTTCAGGAAGGCCAGACTGAATGTGTGAGAAGTGGCTGGGTCTGGGGACACGCCAAGTCAGCCTCTTGAGGGAAGTAAACATAGTCAGGTATATTTAGCTATTGTGGTCAGCTTTTTAGCCAAAATCCAGACTTTGAAATAGAAATGGAGTAAGTATTTATGGCCCCAAACCCTCCCAGAAGGTCCCCTGGGAGCCGAGGCAGGGGTCACCAAAGGCTCAGTCTCCTGTCAGAGCCCCACTCCTCTGGCCCACAGGAGGCCTGACCCAGGGCTAAGGCTGGGCCCCAGGGGGGACTGGAGGAGTGGGGGTGGCAGGGTCAGGCTCCTACTCTCACTTTCACACCCACTTCCTGGCCCTAGAACCAGAGAGGCTCCTGGACTCAAGCCCAGCCAGGCCTGTAGAGCTGCGAGGGGGAGTCCGAAGAGTCAAAGCCTCAGACACTTGGGAAGTTTTTAAAATAAACATATGGGGGAGAAAAGAATAAAGAAAAAAAAGAAAAAAAAAAACAAAACAAAACATATGGGGGAGGTGTGCCCTGGATGGTGTGCAGCTCAACCTGCTGCAGTCTAGTTTAACTTGGCTTGTTTGGGAGCTGCTGCCTCGGGTTGCAGTGGTGGGGCGATGGTGGAGCTGGAAGATGAGTTTACCTGAGCAGTGGCTGGAAAAAGGAGAAGAGCAAAGAGAAGAAAAAGGTTCTTCCTGGCTGCCCTTCTGTTTCTCCGAGGACAAACAGGAGATCTTAGTCTCTGCCCAGTGTGGGTGTGTGGGACTGGAGAGAGGGCCCACTAGAGATGAGTCTGTGGAAGGTCAGAGTTGACTTGTTTGAGATCATCCAGAATCCCAGAGCGCATCCACGGCCGAGCGGAGGCCGAGCTGATGGGGCTCAACCCCGGCGCAGCCTCTCTCACACTCGGGATGGCCACATCTTTCCTCGTCCTGGCCCACCCCACTCTCATCAGGCCCCTCAGGGCTCCCCAGTCAGGCCTGTGTCCCCAGCGTGGACAGGAGCCAGCCTTGCCATTTGCAGCCACTCGGGCACTTCTCTGGGACGAGAGTTTCTGTAGGACCTGGTGGGACTGGCTTCTAGTTAACCCGTTAAGCCCTTCACTTCCTCTTCTCCCCTTTCCGCCCACAGCCTCCCTCTTCTCTTCCGTGCGGCCACTGGCATCTCTCTCACTGGCTGGCGCCTCAGACGCCTCCCCACCAGGCCCTAAATCGCCAGAATCCCGGCTCTTTGAAAGAGGATCTAGGGCCCCCGTCCTCCCCTCATTCCCAGGCTGGAAGGGGCGGACGGAAGGAGGGGCGGGGGCGGGGTAGCCAGGACCAGCTCCCTCCTGGAGCTAATTAGGGAAAACGGAGGAATGTCTGAGGATGGAAGAGCTAGGGGAGGAGACTGGCCTGGAGAAGACGAGGAAATGGACTTCTCCCCGCCCCGTCCCCCCAGGCCCACAGATCTGGAGATTTGTGGCTGGAAATGGAGGCCACAGAAATCCGAGAGCCGGAGTGTGGGGGAGAGCGGGAGTGTGGGGGCGGAGGGAGCGGGTTCGTCGCTCTCTCATGCCCCTCCCCCCTCATGCCGTTCTTTGAAAATATTTCCTGTCTGTTTCTCAATCCCTGGTTGGTGTCCCAGGATTACTCAGCCTCTCCAGCTTTAGTCACTCGGTCCGCTTCCAGGGTCTGGGATGGGGGTAGAGGCGGCTTCCAGAGGGGCGCTCTCCCTTCAGCAGTGGAAGCTGCCCTGAACCCTCATCACCCACCCTAAGATATCAGGACCTCCAGCTCTGAGCTTTGTGAACTCTGCCAGGAGCCATTTTCTTCCCCAGTCACTCTGGGAGTGTGTTGGGGTAGAAGTAGTGACACACTATGTGATAATGATGGTGATGATAATAATTTCAACAACTAATCAAGTGCCTGGGCAGTGGGTGAAACATCATCCCATGTAATCCTTGGGAAGTAGGTACCTAGTGCTTTTCAAACTTTAAGGTACATGCTTTCTTTGAACTGCAGGTTCCTAGAATCTGCATTTCTTTTTTTTTTCCTTCTTTTTTAAAATTTATTAGTTGTTGCATGTTTTCCTCCCTGGAGAATCTGCTTTTCTAACTAGCTCCAGGTGATACTGAGCTAAAGCCAGAATTTGTCTCTTTGGACAGTAATTTTAAAGGACGTTGTGCCTGAGGTTCTCTGATGCTCTAACACTCTGATCCTGTGTCTGTGTTGTACTCAAGATGTCAGGTCCACAGAATCATCCATCTTAGCTTCACTGAACACGCCTCCTTCATATCATCTAACTTCTTTAACCTTAGAGTCACGATAGGGTCCACATTACTGGTGCTGGTGGCATAGCATGCATTTAAATACACCTAGCCCTGACTCTTTCCCTGGTACATTGGTATGGCCTTAGGCAAATCTTCCCCTTTCTCTGAGCCTTGCCTCCTCTATAAAGAGGCATAATACATGTAAAACATCTAGCAGAGGGACTTGGCACAGGAAGCAGTCACTTGCTATTAGAAAATAAACACCTGCAAGAGCATATAGATGCTGCTCTCTGCTAAGAGAGCTCTGGGTCTAGTGGTTAAGGAATTGCACTGCTGACCCAAAGGCAGGCAGTTCAGAATCCACCAGCTGCTCCCGAGGATAAAGATGAGCAGTCTCCTCCTATGTGATTTACAGTCCCTGAAAACCTGCTGGAGGACAGCTCTGAGTCTGTCCTGGGTACCTAACTGGGTACTCTTTTGTTAGGCCTAGAGAAGGAGGGAAGCTGTGTAAAACGATCTCTGCTCTCTAGGATCCTGTGTGGTCAAGTGTGGGGAGGTTAGAAAAGTCCTTTAAGAAGGACTAGGATGAGGATTTGACAGCCAGTGTCTCAGCACTGAGACAAATAGTAACTAGCATGTCTTGAGCACTTGTACACTAACCAGGCACTATTCTAGATGTTTTACACAAATTATCATATTTAACCTTCACCAAAACCACAAGTAGAGAATATTACACCTATTTTACAGATCAGAAAACTGAGGTAGCATAAGAAGCTTAGGTAGACTTGCTGAAGATCGTATCATTAGGTCAAAGAGGAATCAAATCTACAGAAGAAGCTTTAAGTAGAGGAATTTAGCCTCTAGCTGGATTACCCTGTGGACAAGGGCTACTCCGATGACTGTATTCCCAGTGCTCAGCATGGGCAGAGCCCAGGACCCCTGGTAGGCATTTGTTAATTCTGCCATTTCTAACTGTTGGGGATCCTGAGTTTAACCTGGATCTTCCTCTGTCTCTGCAGAAGCTGCTGACGGGAGCTCCACCTTGGGAGGGGGCGCTGGCACCATGGGCCTGAGTGCCCGATATGGGCCCCAGTTTACTCTGCAGCACGTGCCTGACTACCGCCAGAACGTCTACATCCCCGGCAGCAATGCCACACTGACCAACGCAGCTGGCAAGCGAGATGGCAAGGCTCCGGCAAGTGGCAATGGCAACAAGAAGAAATCGGGCAAGAAAGAGAAGAAGTAATGTGGAGGCCAGGCCTGAAGCCACAAGGGCAGCCTCCCCCCCAACCAGTCCAGCCTCTCCCTACCTAAACCCAGCCTCAGAATTTCAGGGCTATCCCCACGATGCTGGTAGGGGCCAAGGCCATGCTCCCCTTGGGAAACAGAAATAAGTGCCCAGTCAACATCCCCCTTTTTGCCCCCAGGGGGTTGAATATGCAAAGGGAGTTCTGCTGAGAACCCCCATCCAATCAATTGCTGTGCCCATAGGGATGGTGGGGTTAGTGCAGAATCCAAGAACCATTTATCACGCCCCTTCAGTTACAGCTGACCTCCTCTATCTTCCAAATTCAATCAGGCCATTCATCCCCACTTCTCTCCTCCTTGCCCTGCTCCACTCCACTTCTCCAACAGCTCCTCTCAAGTCAGATGGTTGGGGGATTGAGGTACCAGGTGACCTAAAAAGGCTCAGAGTTCTGAAGAGTTGGGAGGGCCTCTCCTTTAACTCTCAGACTTCCCCCAAAGCATGGTTTGGTGCCAGTCCCTTCACCTTTCAGAGCCCGAGACCAGGCATGGGGGGCATGGCCACCTTTCCCACGGTACTGATGCGTGCTGGATTAGGGAAGGCATTTTACTACCAAGCCTCTTCCCAACACCCTGGGGACCAGACTTTTGTTTTTCATTGTTTGACGTTCCCACTGCATGCTATGACTTTCCTACCCTTCCCCAAGCAAGATATATCTCTCCATTGCATGCTCAAAGACATTGTGGGGTGGTGAGATGAAGAAGGAAAGGGTGTGTATATGGATGGTGGGGGATGGGGTGGATAACGCCCGGCCCATCAGTTAACAGGGTCTTACAGGAGACTCTATATCCCCATGGCTCTGACCAGGTCCCCAAATGCCACTCTAAACCAAGCATCATGCTGAACCCCTATTCCCACATATAGGGCTCATCCCACTAAACAAACTTTGGGTTGAGGTACTGGAACCAATGGATGTAAACTGAGATTACAGTTCAAGGAATCTGTGAGAGTGTGAGACCAGACCCCCTGGAGCTGTCAGAGGGGTCTCTGTGGGTGCTGAGTACTCCGAGATGCTGCTGGTGGAAGGGTCCAGTTAGGCCATGCTTGGTCCGTTGGTTGGAGAAGCAAGTAAACAAGCACAAGGACCAAGAGGACAGAACTCCGCCCAGATCAGAACTTCTCCACAGAGCCCCTGTCCTCCCCAAAGTCCTTCACCATGCCAGGTGCCATTTCTTCTCTGTGAAGGCCACTGTCCAGGCCCCCAGCCCACCCCCCCGTGGCCAGAGCCTGGTTAAAGTCCCCCAGTGCCTCCTTGTGTATAGACCTTTCTCCGCCCACCCCCTTCTACCCCTGGGGTCCGTGAGAACCCCGCCCCAGCCCTTACATAGTGTAGAGCCCCTTCCTCGGCTGGTGTAGAATAGCCAATAGTGTAGTGCGGTGTGCTTCTTACGTGATGGCGAGTGGGCAGCGGGCGGAGGGCTCTGCGCAGCCGTCTGTCCTCGAACCTGCCTGCGGCCGCCCTGTGCTGTGTTTTGTGCTGTGTCCAAGCGCTGCGGCGACCCCCTCCCCTGTACTGACTCCTATAAGTGCTTCTCTTCGCATAGTCACGTAGCTCCCCTCACCTCCTTCCTGTGTCTCACGCAAGTTTTATACTCTAATATTTATATGGCTTTTTTCCTTTTAAAAAATAATAAAATGGTTTCTTCTGAAATATAGAGTGTTTCTGTGTAAGTTAGGGAGGAGCTGAGGTGTGGTGGGAAGGCAGGGGGTTTGTGTCAGTGTGTCTTGATCTGTTTGTGAAGTGTGTATGTTGCTGTGTGTGCCTGTGAGTCTCTATGACTGTCACTACGCCGTCAGCGTGTGCAGTTGAATTTTGTATACCTTTGTGTGGCCTCAGCTTGTAGGTGCGTTGTGGACGTAGAGATTTGGGGCACGGAATGCCACTGTGCGGTCGTGCAGTTGCGTGCTTGCGGCTGTCTCCGTTATGGTTCTAAGGGGCCTGTCTCCAGGCAGAAGAGGCGATCCTGGGCGGGCGGGGGTGGGCTGCCACGCAGAAACAGCATTGGTCCTGAGGAGGTTTCCATAGTTCCGCCCCTTCCCTCCCGCTCTCTCCACTGAAATCACCTCTGGGGAGCTAGCTTAGGAAAAGAAAACCCCATACTAAAAACCTAGCCCCCCTTCTCCTCTGCCCATCTCCGCAGCTGCCTCCACCCCCATAGTTTTGGGAATACCCGGCATTCTTAAGCTTGGGTCTGTTTTCCTATCTGGAATTCACCTTCTGGCTCACCTAACTGCAGAGAAGCCAGGAGGTGGAGGGCCCATCCGTTCCTTGGAGGGGGTCAAGGATACTGAAAGAGCAAGCAGGAAATCTGCCTGCCTCAGACACAGCATCCTCTCCCCGCCCTCTTGGGCTCTCCCATCTCCCAGGCCCAGGGCTTGGTGGGATTCCATGGTTACTGTAGCCTAGAAATTGTGGAAAACACTGAGGTGGAGGGAGCAGGGGGAAGGGAGAAACACGTGGGTCATTGGGCGGGGGTCTGCAGGAAGATGCCCAATCGCAGGGCAGCAGAACGCTGTCGCTGGGCTTCCAGAGCTCATCGCCCTGAAAACGGTTGTCATGGAAACTAGCCCTTCCAAGTACACGTCTGGGGGCATTTCTTGAGTTGGAGAAGAGTGGTACACAGGGTTGTGGAGAAGGAAGCGGATTCTGAGTCGTTGTGGTGCCTGGGTTCTATTCCTGGCACCACTGTTGACTGGCAGCGCTCATGAGCAGCTGCTAACCACCTAATTGGTATTGTGTGCTTAAACTGAGCCAGAAATGCCTGGCTCAGGGTGGTGGCGCGGGGCAGGCAGGCGGTCCACCCCCTACCCCTCTGGCTATACTTGGGGAGGCAGCTACCCAGGTTCCTAGTCAAGGAAGGCTATTTAAATGGCTTTTATTTCTAGCTCCAGTGCGAGCCCAAATGGGTTTGTGGTCTTCTCGAGGCTCCTCCTTGTCTATTCTTTGTGTAGGTTACAACATGCTGAGACAAGTATGGCTCAAGCAGCAAGTCATCTGGAGCACGGTTTCTGGCTTCTGCCCTCTGCTGGGCAGGCTCCGGTTTCAGGCCCAGGGTAAGCCCTTCCAGTCTGGAATGTGGTCTGTGGCCACTAAATGAGAGGTGGGAACGGGAAAACGGGAGTCACATGTTTCCATTTGCCAAAAAGGCACTGGTACTGCCAGGAAACTCTGACATCTGAGGAATGGGGAGTTAAAAATGAGTCCAAGAAAAGGCCTTCACATCAAGAGGCAGCAACGTGGAGGAGCAAAGAACAGACCTGAACGTCAACTCCTTTCTGGAGGTCAGTGTCCTAAGGTGAGCTCTAGTGGGGCAGGAGCCACCATTAATCATCTCAGTAGCCCTGTGCCCAAGCAGAGTGCCTGGTACATGATGGGTACGTAAAATTTTTGATAATGAATCAAAAGTGTGAGAGAGCAGAAGACGCTGAATGAAATGGAAAAGAAAATAACTCAGAAATCCACAAAGGCAGCTATAAGGTGGTGCTGTTTCAATGCTTTATTAACAGTTGGAAACAAACCCAAACTGGAGGTGATGACATCCCAGAAGCCCAAGAGGCGTGGGAAATAGGTTTTGCATTTTGTCCCTTTTTAAATTTTTTCTTTTTTATTAAATGCATCTTAGCAAAAGTAGATTAAAAAAGAAAGGGTCAAAGCCCCAGATGTCAGCAAGAAGGGTAGAGGACGGAGCCAACAGGTCCCTGTACCACAGTCCTCCTAGAAAACAGCCCCAAGGAGCCGCTGCGTCCTGTCCCCCTCGTGCTCAAGCATGCAGGCCTGGCCCCGACCAGAACCCTTTCCCAGCCCCCATGCCTTCCTGCTGTTCCTCTTACCTAAGTTTCCCCTTTACTCTTAACAATTACAGTTCTGGGTCAAGCCCTAACAGTGCCATTTTCTTTCACTTATCTGGAGGTGGGAAGCTGAAAGGGACATAAGAAGAGTAAAAATGTCACCCTGAGCCAGAAATTCTGAGCTTCCTATGACGGGGCTCCTGAACAGTTTGGCCCGCCCACTGTTCAGAAGAGGGTGGAGGACAATTGTAGGGGGCCCTCCCTGTGCCCACTTCCCCAGGGTCCAGTTAGCATTTGTACATTTGGCTTGATAAATATATTAAATTTTTAAAAGCTCTGTGGTCTCAGAGCTCATGCTACTCCCAGGCCTGGCCCAGCTCAATCAGGAGAGGTTCCTCCTACCCCAGAACTGATTCAGGGAGAGATTCTGCCTTGGCCTTAATGGTCTGGAAGGCTTGAGGGCTGAGGTGAAGATCCAGGGCCCTTGTTCAGGATTGATGCCTATGGCGGAAAACCCCAGGACTCTGGAACCTACCATCAAAGCCTTTTGAATTATAGAGGGAGAAGGGCAGAGATATTTTTCTTTAAAAAAAAATCTCATATAAAAATAGATCCATTTGCAAAACGATTTCTCAGCCAGGAGGCTCCACCTCCCATTTCCTTGGAGACACAAAAGGGTGAGGTGTTGGGATGGTCACAATGTGGCCCATATTCCAGATGAGACACCCCGAAGTGCTGAGGAGGAGGTTAGGAGAGGTCTTGGCTCAGCAGCCTGCAGGCTGGTGCAGAGGTCCAGAAAGGCAAGGGCATAAAGCAAAGCATGGTAGCAGGCGGGGGGGCAGGCCCCACACTGTCTCTAGGCCCTGCCAGCCTGCCACAGGCTACGTCCTGGGCCACAACCGAACAGGAAAAATGATCCAAATTCTTTTTGTTTGGGGAAGTCTTTCCTAGGAAGGCAAGGTAAGGGTGAGATCTGTTCCTCCCTTCCTTAGAAGCAGCTCCCAATGCCACGCCACTGTAATAAATAACTGCCAGGAGAGGGGAGAGAGCGAGCAGCGGTGACAGCATTGAAGGGGGGGGATACAGCCCAGAGGTTTGCAAGCCCCATGCTGTTCTTAGGGTCAGAGAAACCACAAAAGAAGAGCACAAATCCAGAAGACTGACCTAGGGAAAGCCCACTGTCAGGAGCTAGGGAAGCAGCCTTGGCCTTGTCTGAGGTAAGGCCTCAGAGTAACAGAAATAGTCAGGGTTAAGGCAGCAAAACATGGACCCTGCTTTGGTAATACAACAGCCAGGGTTGGCTGGACTGGTCTCAAGCCCCCGCAGTAGCCTCTCCTCCTGGCCTACGGGCAGCTGAAGCTGTGTGTGATGTATGGGGAGCAGCAGGCCAGAGAGAAAGACAGGGTCAGGGTGGTGAGAGTGGCCACCCCAGAGCAACGTTCCTTTGACCCTTCAGGCACGCGCTGCGAGGCAGGACAGTGTGGGCCTCTGCTGCGGAGCTGCTGTGGCCACAGGACCCGGCTTAGCTCGCACGGCCAACCAACTCCTTGGTTTCCTCTAGGATTGTGGAGACTCCCTCACTCTTCTTATGTATCTTGGGAGGAACATCATCTTCCTTAGTCAGCACCGCAGCTAGCACAGATGTGACTGCATTTCCGACGTTCTTGTTGCCTGCAAGAGAAGACAGGGGAGATCTCATCTGTGGAAAGCCTCATTTCCAAGTCATTCCAAATTCTACAGTGGACATTCAGCTGAAGCCATGCAAACATGTCTGTCCAGTTCACAGAGGAGGAGATTCAAGAACACGTACAATATGCCCTTGGAAGGCACAGAACATCCAAGGAGAGATGTGCTTCCTTGTATGAAAATAAGATGAAGTCTCAAAGCCTCAGTTTCCACCTCACAGGGTTGCTGGTATTAACCAGGCTAAACCTTAGTACCCAGTATGCTCTTTGCTTTCTCCCGCAAGTATGGGGGGCTGTGTCTAGAGGAAGGCCTTCAGCAGGTTGTGGCTGGGGAGGGTGGAAACACTCCTGCAAAAACAGCACGTTCTGACATCCGTGCATCTCCCACTCCCAAGAGCTCCACCTACACGGCCACCCCCAATGGCCACACATCCAGCTCTCTCCTGTCTTGTCAAAGGCAGCAGCTGTGATAGAAATGCCTGACTTGATAGGGGGTCTGCTGGGTGGGGATGAAGAAAAGCCAGGGAAGGCAGAGTTGGATCAAGAGTGGTCGGGAGGAAGCCTCTACAAGAATCCCGGCCCAACAGCCCTAGGGGAGTGGGATGCTCCAGATGAGAAAAACCAATCCATCCACGAGTTTCTACTCTGGTTGCTGAAGCAACACTGAGATTCTCATATTCATTTATAGAATCGAGACTCAAGCACCAGTATCCTCAACAGGAAGATGGCTCCTTGGGGCTGAGCCCGCCTCTTGTCTGCCTCTTCCCATGGCCCAGAAGGAGCACAGAGAGCCCACATGTACACAAAGAACTGCCTGGGGTGTAAGAAGCCAGAACAAAGGAGCACATATGGTAGTGATTCCATCTGTACAGAACGGCCAGGACATGCAAATCCATAGGGACAGAACGGAGATTAGTGGCTGCCGGGGGCTGGAGGAAAAGGTGGGGTGTGAGTGCTAATGAGCTTCTTTTGGGGGTGATAAAAATGTTCTAGAATCAGAAAGTGAAGATGCTTATAAAACTTTGTGAATATACTAACAAAACATTAACTGTACATTTTTAAAGGGTAAATTTTAGATATGTGCACTTCATCACCATTTTTGAGCCACGGACCACTGTTTCCCTCTCTTTTTTTTATTTTATTTTTTATTATTCTTGTGTGCATGTACCGTCAAATCAGATCTGACTGGTACAGGAGGAGATTGCCCCTCCTTCCCCGGCAGAGCATCTGGTGGATTCGAACCGTGCACCTCTGGGATTGTAGTTGCAGCTTCTTTCCACTAGGCCACCAGAGCTCCCCCTGTTTCCCTCTCTTTAAGTAAGAGATTTGGTTGCTATGTAACTGTATGCTGCCCTGTTGTAACATACCATCAAATCAGGACCGATTCATAGCTTTCCCTTTAGTAGGTTGTCAGAGACAATTAACTGTGTCAGAGGAGACTGCCCACCTTTCTTCTGAGGAGTAGCTGGTGCATTTGAACTGCGTGCCTTTGGGAGGCTGGACTTTATGAGGAGTGTGGCACCAAGATTGGTGGAAGACTCATCAACAACCTGCATTATGCATATGACACAACTTTACATGCCAAAACTTGATGAGGACCTGAGGTATTTGCTGCAGAAGGTCAATATGGATTGAAGCTCCCCATCAAGGAAAAAAAGATTCTTACCAGTGGGCCAACTGGCAGATGAGAAGAGACTGAGGTTGTTAATAACTTCAGCTTGCTTGAAGCTCCACAATCAACACCACTGGCACCAGCAGTGAGGAAATAAAAGAACTGCACTGGGAAAGTTTGCTGCCAGGGACCTCTCTTGAGTCCTGAAGAGCTACGATGTCACTCTGGAGTTAAGGTGCACCTGATACAGGCCATGGTCTTTGCAATTACTTGCTATGCATCAAAGAGCTGGACCATAACTAAGGATGACAGAAGAAGGATTGATGCCTTTGAGCTGTGGTGCTGGAGAAGAGTGTTGAACATACCATGGACTGCCAGGAGAACAAACAAGTCAGTCCTGGAGAGGGTGAAACTAGGCTGTTCCCTGGAGGCAAGAATTTTGAAGCTCTGTCTCACATACTTTGGGCACATGACCAGGAGGGACCAGTCCTTTGGGAAGGACATCATGCTTGGAAGGGTGGAGGGACAGTGCAGGAGAGGAAGGCCCTGGATGAGATGGATTGATTCAGTGACTGCAGACATGGGATTACGTCTGTCAGAGATGATGAGATTGGCTCAGGATGGGGCAGGTTTCAGAGTTTATGTATACAGGGTCGCTTTGAGTAGTAGGCAACTCAGTGGCACATAACAACAAGCCACTAGAGTTCCACATGCTGCTCTAGGAGAGTGGGTTTCTAGAAGGGCTCGTGACCCATACTTCCCCCCATTCTAGTCATCATAATAAGGGGAGAAAAGACTGAAATTGTCAACTAGTTCATCTTATAATCAACACTCCCTGGTACCAGCAGTCAGGAAATTAGGAGACGTACTGTATTGGGCAAATCTGCTGTCAGAGACTTCTTCAAATTACTGAGGAGCAGTGATACCAGTTTGAAGACAAAGGTGTATCAGATTCAGGTCATGGTCTTTTCAATCATTTTCTATGCATCTGATAGTTGGTCAATGAATAAGGATGACAGAAGGAGAATCGAAGCCTTTGCGCTGTGGTGTTAGAAAAAAGTATTGCTAAAAAAACAAACAGATCTGTCTTGGACAGAGTGTAGCCAGAGTGCTCCTTGGAGACAAACACGACAAAGCTTCATCTCACATACTTTGGGCATGCTGCCAGGAGAGGCTATTGCCTGGAAGGGAACATCATGCTTAGAAAGGTGGAGGGTCAGCAAAAGAGAGGAAGACCCTTAACAAGTGACTAACAGGGTCTGTTGCAGTAGGTTCAAGCATGTCAGAAAGATGAGGGTGGCACAGAATACGAGGGTTCACATCTGTTGTTCACAGGGTCACTATGAGTCATACTGATGGCACCTAACAACAACAACAACAACAACAACAGCAATTATTGCTTCAGTTAACACAAATTAAAAAAAATTTGCTTCCTCAGTCATGACTGAACCAAGATGAACTGGTTTGTAGACTTGGTTCAAACTGCCAACTAACCCTTTAGTTGATAACTCAGTGCATTTAATCATTTGTGCAACCTTTGCCACCTTTAAAAAAGTCTAAAGCCCTTAAAAAAAGCCAAACGCAGTGCCCCTGAGTCAATTCTGAGTCAACTACAACCCACAGTGACCCCAGGAACAAGCGATCTGAACTGTAGCCTGCCTGCGCCATCCTCACGGCCTCTAACATGCTCAAGCTCCTGGAGACACAGCAGAACTGAGCCACAGGGTTTCCAAGACTGTCAGTTTTTATGGAGGCAGATTCTAGCATGCAGTGGCTCATGGGTTTAGAGACTGGCTTTCTGGTTAGCAGCTGCTCAATGCTTAACTGGTGTGTCAGTAAGGAAACAAGATCAGCACTCCTAAAGAAGTCTGCAGAGCTATGGCAGCGGAGGACCACGAGCAGGCAGCCAGTAAACAAAGGGCCCAGAGCCCTTTCGCTTCTTCAGATTTGCCAAAAGCTCTGGGTAAAGCGGCGCTAAATAATATGAGAGCCCTGGGCTTCACATGGCTGCCAGCCTCCCTGCAGTCACGACAGAGCTCTGTGCTATCACACAGCAGAGGGTAGTTACCAACATCTGGGAATCCTCCTCTTCCTCCTCCCAGGGGCACAAGAGATTCTCTAATAAGAGGAGAAAAGATTGTGAAGACCCTGCCCGAGAGCCCGAGTGCAGCCAGTTCTAGGTCTTAGAACAGCACCTAATCTTTGGGATTATGCTGTGAGTACAGACCACAGCGAGACAGCGAGAGCGGAGCTCACCAGGGCTGCTTGGTTTTGTGGGTCTTGCAAATTTTCTACTTTTGACAGAGTAAAATCTTATCACTTTTCTGTGTCTTATTTTAGTGGCAAATATGCATGTTTTCCTTCTCTGACAGGTTCCCATCTTACATGCGTTTTGGTTTCTGAACGCTTTATTGTCTCGGTGATTAAGAAATGAAGAAAAGTGTTGGCATCTACACATGTATGTTTTTGCTATAATCCTTTTCTTCGTCTTTCTTCACCTGCAAAATCTTTTTCAGACTTCCTTAGTCTGCCTTTTGCAGCACTCTCTTCTCTAGGATGCTGCTTCTCATGTCCAGCGGAGCGCCAGCGTGATAGCATCTTACTGTTCCTTTCAATTCAGTCTCTAGCAGTTGAGAAAATACGCCAAGTCTTGGTAAGTATCTGTGTGTGACTCTGCTGCATGTTATGTGTGAAGTAATTTCTGACTCCAGACTCTAGGAAATGAGACATCATGTGATATAACATAGGACATGTCAAGAGAGTTTAAAGGCGGTATGTTTTCCCACTAAAAAAATTATCTAAATGAAGATTCTATTGCATCCAATCAAGCAGTATTCTAGGTTTTCTAGAATAACAAAACTTCTCAAGAGTGGATGATAACTCAGTCCCATAAGGACAAATACTGCATAAGACCATTATTGTAGAAATAGAAAGATAACTAGTCAAATGTGTACGATGTCCAGGGATAGAAGGGTGGGAGCAGAGGGGTGAGGATGGGCAGGGAGAAAATCTTAGGGTCGCACAATTTGATGGGTAGAGGGAGGGATGAGTAAAGGAAATGAGAAAGATCCAGAGTGAAAAACAATGTATACAAACTTTGGAAGTAAACCAATATAAAAGAAAAACTAAGAAAAGAGTGGATGAAAGTTGGGGGGACAAGAAAAACTTCATTTTAAATCCCAGAGATAAGCATACTATGGCTGGACATGACGTGGACCACGGTGTTGCTGAATAAGGCCACAGAACCAGCAGAACCTGGGAGCCCTGGCTAGTATCCACCTGCCACATTTATGCTCAGAAGCTTGCATTAAACAAACCCAAATCTCCTCCCTCCTTTCTCTAACTTAGGTACTTGCTGAGGCAACCTAGAAGCA